ATTGACTCCATCACCGATGCTATGTTACTCCAGGACGACATCAATAACCTTTAATCCTGGTCCACGTCAAGCGGTCTCATGTTTAACGAAGGAAAATGCAAAAGTATTAGCATTACCAGACGTAGTCAACCAATCCATCATCTATATAGCATCAAAGGCAAAGAACTTGCACTTATACCAGCAGAGAACGATCTGGGAATTTGGATTGCGAGCGATCTAACCTGGTCTAAACACATTTTAGACCGGTGTACCCGTGCCAACAAACTCCTTGGATTTATAAAGCGATGTTCTGGGAAAATAAGCGACGCGAGGACCCGCCGGACTCTGTATCTGTCTTTGGTTCGGTCGGTTTTTGGTTACTCGAGCCAGGTTTGGTCGCCTCAAACCGTGACCCTCATCCAACGTATGGAACGAGTCCAAAGAAGAGCAACGAAGTACATTTTAAACCTTCCGTACTTGTGCAGTGAGACTTATCGGGAACGACTTGCCAGTTTGGGTCTCTTACCGCTATCTTACTGGCACGAATATTTGGATCTCGTGTTCTTTTTTAAAGCGGTGAACGACTTGGTCGACGTGTCCCATGACGTCCTCCCCGAAGTCATGTCCCACACCAGAACGACCAGATCCTCCAGTGGCAACCAAATCTCCTTCCGTCCGGCCAAATGCAAAACCTCTACCTACCAACGCTCCTTCTTTATTCGTACATCCAGAACTTGGAACTCTTTACCAACTACACTAAGATCTCCTGACATTAATATTAGGCAATTCAAAACCGATTTACAAACTTACTACCTGACAGCCCTGAGAGAATGTTTCGACGAAGAAGATCCGAGGACATGGAAGACTATTTGTCTGAAGTGTAACACTAGTCGTTACTTACGTTCTGAACTAACTTGTTGTTTTTAGTCTCCTGTCCATGTACTGTATGTTATATATTCTGTACTGTATGTGTATTTTTGTATAGGGCCCACAGTAATTGGTTTACACTGTTGTGGTGTCCCTGCCATTTTTGTCCATGTTTATTGTGTAGATGTCTATTTGCTGTTCTGTTAAGTGTTTTTGGCAAAGTTTAATAAATAAATAAAAATATAACTACTCACAATTGACCTTTCTTAAAACGTCTGCCTTGTGACGTAGTTTGCGGATAAAGGAAAACCCCGCACAGCCATTTGGCTTGCCTGATTGGCCAAATGATTGTATTTAATTATCCGCAAACTATAGCTACGTCGCAGAAATAAATGATAAAGAAATATTTTTTATTTAAGGATGAAGTCCAGGAGCCAGTTGAACAACCTGTCAATATCAGCAAGCCAGGTGAGAAAGTTCATCAAGTTTGTTTTTGCTTCGTAAGAAACAGAGAGACAAAAAATGGTTTCAGTCAGCATTACAGGACAGCAGATGGTGGTCAAATTCAGAGATGTTCACACTTATAGCAGCAACAAAATTGAAATATGAATTTCTCAATTCTCTTTATTTTCCACCAATACAAAACTACTACATATAATGAAAAGAATGAACAAAGGAATATTTTCTCACTCTGATAGCTGTAGGTTGACCACCATCTGCTGAAACAAAGTCAATAGTACTTAGTGAAACCCTGAAAGTGCAATACCTCAGCAGTATAAATCCGGGTATAAATCTGTGCGTATACATCTTCAAAAAGTTATATATTTAATAAATATAAAACATTTTCTGTGTTGATATACAGTTACATCAGCACAAGTGGAAATTGGGAAAACTCGAAATTGTGTTATTTTCACACAATTTTGAGTTTTCCCAATTTACACGAGTGTTTATATAACTGTATATCAACACGGAAAAAATGTTTTATATTTGCTGTTTATAATATACCACAAACAAACATAAAGAAAGAAATTTTCCGACGTTTCCGTGTTGACATTGAGTTATATCAACACGACTCTTAGCCAATTAGTGTTCAGAATTTATAAATGCTATATATATATATTAATTTGCATAGGTGCAGAAAATGCTTAGAGAGGGAGGGGGCAGACCATGCAGACAAACTCAATGTTTCCACAGAAAAGTTTGAAGTCTAAAGTGTCTTAAATCGAATTTCCTGCATTTTGAGAACATTTGACTCGCAAAATCCTCTACAGTAAAAAACCTAAGCATCTACAACAATCATTTCAAACAAAGTCACGAAAATCAAGTGTATATATAATAACTTTGCGAAGTTATAAAATACTTGTGATTCCCCGTTACTAATCATTCTTTCTGAGGGGCTTCGCTCGCCTGGACTATCCATACATATCATACATGCTTTTATCCATAGATATAGGAGATCTAGATTGCTAACGCATACCTAGCGCAGGCCTACATGATAAATCCAAGATGGCGGTACAACAGGACAAAAAGGCTATAGATTCTATTACGAAAATCAAGATTTTTGCATTTTTTGCCGTCGCATTGTTTCGAAACTTATTCGGTCAAATTTTATGGTAAAGAGAAATTTACCGCGAAGATTTTGAGCACATATATGATTGAATTGGATGAAAAATCGCAAAATTATCCAGCGATAAAAGTTCGTGTGAAATGGTCAGTTGGTCAGTTGGAGCGTTTTATTGCCAGAAATGCTGTGCTATGTTAACATCTAGCCTTGTGAATGGTGTTTTATACTTGCATCTCTCATCATCATCTGCTCTGTCCTCATAATTATGAAAAATGAACTGTTATGTACCCCCCCCCCCTTGCTTGTTAGAGAAGTAAACTGATGAGAGCACTGGATGAGGGTCTATCATCTATGGTCTGTTATAATTTGCTTTTTATGCAAATAGTGAGCAAAAATTAAAGCAAAACTGTACAAGTTGCATATATAGTACTATATCAGTACCATACACGAACTTTTATCGCTGGATAATTTTGCGAGTTTTCATCCAATTCAATCATATATATGCTCAAAATCTTTGCGGTAAGTTTCTCTTTACCATAAAATTTGACCGAATAAGTTTCAAAACAATGCGACGGCAAAAAATGCAAAAATCCTGATTTTCGTAACAGAATTTATAGTCTTTTTTCCCTGTTGTACCGCCATCTTGGATTTATCATGTAGGCCCCGCCTGCCCTAGGTATGCGTTAGCAATCTAGATCTCCTATATCTATGCTTTTATCCCTGTTTCACTACCCCGGATCTGGGGGTCCTTCCCCTGAATTTTTTTTGTATATTTCATGCTCAATGACAGCATTTCTGGCATTGTCTGGGGCATCCACAAAACGTATTTTGAGGTTATTTTCGTTAACTTTGTAACCTCACATTTGTGGTTTAACACTGCACAAATGGATTTATGGCTGCCTATTTCCCACCCCTCCCAAATTTTTCATTGAAGTTGAACGATCTAAAAGTATACTCTGGAAAACATTGCCCCCCCCCCCAACTTGGAGGCATTACTTCGGTGTGGAAGCAAGATGCGTCTGCAACAGTGTTGAAAGAAATTCACTCCCAATATGATAATATCTTGCAGACTCGAGGCGTGAATGGTTTGAAACAAATATATTTGACGAAAGTTGGGACATGAAAGAGAAATATGAGGATGAATTGGCGAGGTAACAAAACATTTGTCGTTACACATTTTCTGTTGAGCATTTTGTTTAACGAAAGAATCGGTAATCTGTTGCACGCCCCTCATGGAAATCAGCATTTTTTTGTTGGAGCAGCGTATTAAAATAAGATATGTATGTGTGTGTGTGTGTGTGTGTGTGTGTGTATGTGTGTATGTGTGTATGTGTGTATGTGTGTATGTGTGTATGTGTGTATGTGTGTATGCGTGTATATGTGTATATATGCATCGGTTTCTAATATCATTATACAAAATGGAGCAGGAGCACGTTACCCGACAAAATCTGGCGCTGTTGGCTTTTGCCTACAGCCCATGCAAAAACTGTGTTTCATGGAGTGGGGAAAAGCCAGTGGCGCCAAAATTGTAGGGGTTGTGTGTCTGGGGGCATGCTTCTGCGGTAACTAGAATTTTTTTAGGATTAAGTTTTTCGTCAGGGATGTTACCAACAGCTAGTTGTAGAAATTTTTGCACACGTCGTCACGTGTTAAATATTAGTTATACGTCTTGTACTTTTGTTATAGGGTAGAATCTACACGTAGATTTGTATTACTTTTCAGTGTGTCCTTTAAAAGTCTTAGTAAGTGACTTTTCAGTCAGTAAACTAATTTAAATTAGTCCAATCTGGATTTTTGTAGCTTACCTTGGGTGCAAGATTTCTACATTGGTGTCGCGAGCGAACCAGAAAAATCATGGCAAATATACATAACCTGCGCTCACAGCAAAGTACCATCTATGGCCGATCTGAAGAAAATATTTGGCGTGAACATTTCCTACTTTGTTGATTTTGTCGAAAAAAGCATCGATGAGGATAGTAAACGTAGCAAGGAATCGCTACCTTGCCCTTCTTATTTGCGAGGGCCTATTTCAGGAGATGAGCTCTGTGTGCAAGAAGGTAAAGGTGGATATGGAGCAGTCGGTATCCTAACTAATGATAATGAAAAGCACTACGCAACCACGTGCTATCATGTATGTTTTAAGAACGATTTACCTGAAAATGACATTAAAGAAGGTCACAAAATACTCATGCAGGACTGCGCGAACGAATCCAAAGGTTGTCAAGGTGCCACATGCGTGTACACAACAGACCAACATACAAGGGAACTCGGTCGGTTCTGCTATGGCTTATACAATGACAACCACGATATTGCCCTTATTGGACTGGACCGAAGTATAAATTGCTCCGACATGGTTAAATTCCTTGGTGAGAAAAGTATTAATCCAGCTCTGGCTAGTAAAAAGGAAGTCAAAGATATGCTCTTCGAGAAGAAAGTGTTGCCTATAGAAATAATCCGCCCAGTAAAAATAAGAGGAATACTTTTTACAGCAACCGGTGTAGATGTGAAACGTTGTCCAAAATACAAACGTTGCTACAGAATCAAGATACCAGATAACACACCCTCTCCCAGTGAAGGTGATTCGGGATCTTTAGTGTATCTGTTATATGAAGATGAAAAAATACCATTCGCTTATCTATGTATGGTAATTCCAGGATCTGACAAAGAAAATGTCTATTATTGCAGAAGTTTAAATGACAGTATAGAGGAATTAATTAGAAAGTTTCAGCTACAGAGACGTATCAAACCATGTTTACGAGAGTGTAGCTTTGACGAAAACAACCATTGAATGATATGCATCGTTACGTACAACCGTCACCCTGTCACTGGCATAAAACAATTAGAACGTCAAGAGGCGAAATAGAACAATATAATTTTTCTTATTATTATTCCCAAGATGAAATACTTTATATTTACGGAACGCTTTAAAATACTCCATGAAGATAGAGTGTAAAAATTGCACATGCACTATTAAAAGTAAAAGGTTCAAATAGATATAATTAATATTATAAATATATAATGTTATAAATATTTATAATCAGTCATGTGTGGAACAAATTCCCACAAAACAGTCAGCCATTTTAGGGAAGCCTCACATATCGATTTTGTCCATGAGAAACGTCATATGTACGTTTCTCTGGAGACTCCCCCCCCCCCCCCCCCTTAGAAACGTCACATATAATTATCGATATTTTGTTCTTATATTACACATAAGGTAATTTTCTACGGTCGGCTATTGGCGATGCTTACGCGAGGAATATGTCATCTTCTGCTGACATATCTTTTTGCTGGCGAGCGCTAGCGAGGCAGCACACTATTCTTGACGCTTGCTCAGGATTTTCCAAAGTTCACTCGACCCAGTCTTTCGCGCGGATCTATGTGAACTCGAATCAGAATCTTGTGTCTGTCTGATTGTCGTAATTCCGGGGGACAGTACATTCGAATCGTTGGGGGGGGGGTGAAAAATATTTCTGAGTTTTTAACTCCATGTTTTACAAGTCCATGTTTTACAAGTCCGTGTTTTACAAGTCCGTGTTTTACAAGTCCGTGTTTTACAAGTCCGTGTTTTACAAGTCCGTGTTTTACAAGTCCATGTTTTACAAGTCCATGTTTTACAAGTCCATGTTTTACAAGTCCATGTTTTACAAGTCCATGTTTTACAAGTCCATGTTTTATAAGTCCATGTTTTACAAGTCCATGTTTTACAAGTCCATGTTTTACAAGTCCATGTTTTACAAGTCCATGTTTTACAAGTCCATGTTTTACAAGTCCATGTTTTACAAGTCCATGTTTTACAAGTCCAGTCCATAGTTTACAAGTCCAGTCCATGTTTTACAACATGCCCTCGCAAACTCACATGTATCCGCTAGCTGTCGAAGACGTGTAATGAAATGATCAACCGATTCTTCAGGGCTAGGTCGGGTCTGTTTGAATACATATCTTTCGTAAATTACATTTTTCTGCGGTTGAAAATAACTATCGAATTTCTCCACAGCTGTTTTATAATCTGTGCCAGTATCGTTTAATAACGTGTTGAAAATCTTATGAACTGCGGCACCAGCAACGTAGAGTGGGAGAGAACGCTTTTGTTTGGCATCCGTTATGTTTGCTGCAAGCAAGTACATGTCAAATCTTTCATGGCAGTCTTTCCATCGTTGAGCTAAGGACGACTTCTCACTTTCGGCATCAAAAGCAGGCGGTGGTGCTAAATGCGTAAGTTTCGTTGCCATATTTCTTGAAAATATTAATCCTCGTCGCTAAAAGTAATGATGTCAGAGTGCTTCTTTCTTTTCAACCACGTAGGTACGCCGCGGAACTCTTGCTATTTGCGTACTTACTTTTTCTGCTGGTACCATGCTAAGGATTCAAAACCATAGTTTAGTCCGTATATGTGTAAGTTTGACATGTTTTGGAATGGTTGCACAGATGGGACTGGATTGCAGTGTTTGTATATATAATACAATTGCGCTCGTAGTTTGAATGCCTTTCAGACACCTGTACTTTGTGTGAGTTTGTAAAAACACGTAAAAACGCACAAGTTGTAACAAACCTACAGCGGACTTGTTGCAATGTTGTTCCGACAACTTTTCAACAGGATGTGTTCGCACTGCTTGTTCCCAGCTTGTTGACAAGTTGTCAACGGCTTGTTACACAACTTGCTACGAGGTTGTTGAGCTCAACAGGCTTGTTACAAGTTGTTCCCAACAACTTGTTGTCGTCCTGTAATTCAACAATTTGTCAACAACTTGTGAGTGACAACCTTGTAGCAACTTGATAAAATAACAGCATTGTTACAACTTGTTGACAAGCTTGCTACAAATCTTGTTGACAAGATTTCTACGTTTGTACGACTAAATATCTTGGATTATCGCATCCTCGTGCAGTTCGGAATTCATCCCCCTCATGTAAGCATAGTGTAAGGTACGCTAAACTCGACTGCTGTTTGGCTATTAGGAATTATTCTTTTCGCATACTGGCATAAGACGAAATTAATCGTACAAACAGATTGTTTTCGTGAGCAGTCAGTCGCACTAACCGTTGCAGGAAGGACGAAGTACAAGATTACGCGTAAAAATCTTGCAAGGCGTCAACAAGTTGTGTTCGCACTGCTTGTCCCAAGTTGTCAACAAGTTTGGAACAAGCTGCTAACAGTTGTAACAACCTTGTTGATATTATCAGACTTGTTGCAAGGTTGTTCCAACAAGTCTGATCCAGTCACGATATCACAATATTGTTACAACCTTGTGTCGTCAACTTTGTAACATTCTTGTTATATCATGATTGTATGCAGACTTATTAGAGCAACCTTGTAACAAATCTAATAATGCCATCAAGCTTGTTACAAGTTCTTAACACCTTGCTCCAAACTTGTTACAACGACAGCTGTCCATAGCTTGTGAACAGATTTGTAACAACTTGTTTGTCGACCTGTAACAATCTGTGCGTTTTTACGCGTGTAGTATCAATGACCCCTTTCACGCCATTTCACATTTGCTAATTCTCAATATTCTCGTTCATAATACGCGAAGGAAAACATCGTCTTCTGACGGATCAACTGACTTCTTGTATCTAGTGTGAGAAATTCTAGAATTTCTCAGAGAGCATCGAGCCGTCGAATAGAGTTTCATACAAGATGTCAATATTTATAAAAGAATGTTGTGTATAACCCAACGAATTATTACGTATTGGCATTTAATTCATTTTGAGAAGCTTTATGAATTCTGGTAATATTAGCTACGATTTAAGTACGCGAAAGTATAATTAGCCGTAATTGTATCGATAGCCGCTGTCGTCTTCGTGTTGCAGTCAATTAATATCAATATTGAATTGACGAAACAATGGCCGGTATAGGTTTCAGAAAATGATGATCAATTTCAGTAATGTTAACACTCAGAATTGTATAAATTTTCTTCCAGTACAAGGCTTCTACGTTATTTTCTTATTCTGACAACTGCAAGTTGACCATCATGAAAGCGCTTGGGCTAAGCAAAAGTCCCCTTTCACGCAAGTGACTATTTGGAAGTGACCCGAAAGCGTAAAGCTACTTTGACCACTGCGTACGATTATGCTACTATATTAATACTTTGAAAGCTTTATTATAATTTTAATTTTTGATATAAGTTATGTAAAATATTTGTGTACGTCGTGCGAATTTAATAAATTGTAAATTGGAATTGGAATTTTAAATAATTTTACTTACTTACCACCGATCGGTTTCGGGTAGCAAGGTGGACAGCTGGGTCCATATAAACGTAATACAGTACTACCTCGGGTAGAACGCATATTAGCTAGTTTAAAGTTGGTTAATTTTCAAAGAAATGCTGTACAAGCTAGTGATGGGCGATACCAGCTTTTTTGGTTTCGATACGATACCAGTCCGATACCATGAATTTTGATACCAAAATCGATACCGATACTCAATTTTTTCCATTTATTAAAATAACTTTTAAAACACGAACATTAAAATGTTTAAAACAAGTCAAAGAATACTCTAACTGGAGTACCTGCCAAATAATCGAACATAACATTTGCAATTATGATTTTAAATCAAAACAACAATGTTTTCCTCAAATATATTGCTAATTAGCTACATGTTTTTGTTTAAGAACAGCATCATGTCAACATTTTTTGCCTTCAGGGGCCTTCAGTCTGTTGCCTTCATGAAGCATTAAGTGATTGGTCAGGAATACTGACCAAAAACATTGCAGGCTCAAGTGGTATCAAATTACCGATACTTTTTGCGAGTATCGAAAGTATCGATACTTTTGTAAGTATCGATGATTTCGATACTTTTTCGATAGTATCGCCGATCACTAGTACAAGCTAGCTTTCATATTTATAATTTGCATTGCGTATCAGATTTGTCTTGTATCAAATTGCAAGATCGAGTAGTCATGTGACCCAAATTTTTTCGTTTGGAAGTCAGCGTTGATCATATAATGGTTATAAATTCAGAGTTATAGACTCTAGTCGTGTGACTTGGACTCGAGTCGCCATTTTTATGACTTGTGACTTGTTAATCAGATATATTAACAACAGATAAACAACTTGTCACTTGAATTGGCCTCGAACGAAACGATTTGTGACTTGAGTGAATGGACTTTATTTAAGCACGGAGGCCTGTCATCCAAACACCGAGATTATTCTTCTTGAATTATTTACAATATTTACAAGAAAATGAGAAATTACAGTTATATATACATAATAACAAATTATTATCTACAGTTTATTTTTGAATATTTTTAGTGAGGTGGAATTCCTAATTTCAATTCGTATTGAATTCCATACCACTGCTTCATTATATTCGAGACCATTATATTATTTTCAAAAATTGGTGTTTGGTTTACTTTAGGGATGACAAAATTGTAGTCATGACATCGTGTATCATGACTGTGATTTAAGTTAGCTTGATTAAACGGCCGTGAAAGATGAGTGGGCCTCCATTTTTTTGTTTCATTTTCATTTTTGTGTCACGCAGACGACGCAGTCACTAAATATTAAGCCCCGTTTACATTACGCTCAAGTTTTGGTACGGCACGGATAAAATTGGTACCCGTACCACTTTTTTTGTTTTTGGACTACCTATCCAGCTAAGCCCCGTTTGCACTACGCTGAATTTTTGGTACAGTACCACTTTTTGGTTCTTGGACTACCTAAATAGGTAGTACAAGAACCAAAAAAATGGTACGGGTACCAATTTTATCCGTGCCGTACCAAAAATTGAGCGTAGTGTAAGCGGGGCTTAAGTGGTGTATGTATACATACAAAAATGGAGTTACACTATCTTTAAAGATAGTGTATCTCCAAAAATGGAGTTACACTATCTTTAAAATTTTAACTCCACCAAAAAGGAGTAATAGGGGAGTTATTTTAACTCCCTAAAAATAACAGTATATGTAAAACTTTATTTCAATACGCTAACTTCGACAATTATTTACAACTGGTTTCCACGAAG